GCATGCGGCGCACAAGAAACAGTCACCCATGTGCTGGTGGATTGCCCGAACTTGAGGGAACCTCGGAGAGAGCTAAGGAGAGAAGTTGGAGATGCGTTTAATAGCGTATCGAGCCTGCTGGGAGGCTCAAAACAAGGTGAGAAAGGTAAACCAGACACCGTCTCGCGAGCCAGGACGGTCAAGGCCGTGCTGGACTTCGCCGAGGCGTCACAACGGTTTCGGAGTCGCGCGCCACCGGGGCAGCCTAACAATGGGAACGGCACTTAGGCCACGACAGGCCTTGACGAGGCTCTAAGTTCGTTGTCAGGAAGTGGAACACTCTACATGTACGTACACGGATATATATAGTAGTCGTATCCTGCATATCGTTCGCGAGGGGTCAGGGTAAATGATTTCACACACACACACTCCTGTATAGCGAATTGCGTTACCTTTGTCCATGTTTCCCCGGTGAGGTGAGTGACTTGGTAGACTGAAGAGAAATTTAGGCACCAAGTAGCCTGAACCAACAACCAGATGCTATATCGCGCAATAATGGATGGCATAAGATATTGAGTGAATCCAGTCTGATAAAGCGTCTCAATAGTGGGCTCGTATACAAATCTGGCGCTGGAAAATAGCGCGAGGGAGGAGCTTTGTCTATGGAAGCGATTATTTAATTACTGAGCGGAAGGTAGAAAATATATTAGCGTTCGATATGCTCCGCAGAGATTTACGTGAGCTTGGGGTCTCAGGCGTCCAACATACGCCGAGATGCTGGATGCAAAACAAAGTTCATACTTGGTACAATATCTCAATTGTCAGTCCGAGCCGATTTGCACAACATAGTTCCGAGGATTGCTTTTGCCGACCCCCACTTTGTTAACGCTATGACACAAAGCGAGCCACTGACCAAGGTACAGCGTGGTTTGGGAGAGATGATGATTTATATCGCCTAGGTGCTACGGGGCCTGCAAGATCCGCAGGGCCTTGCCAAAGACAAGTAAGAGCAAGGGCCGCTCCACAGCCTTCACCGAAGCCCACGAGATGCTACAGCAAAGGTGGTTTAAGGAAAGGACATCCTAACCAGGCTCTTGGTGGGCCACAGGGCAGTATGGGAGGATTTGTGGATCTAAAGACGATTTGCATTATCACTGTGGTGCCAAACCTTCCTAATTTCCTAGATCAGATTTGTTCCCGTCCTTGATGAGATAGCTAATAACACTGTTACTGAATCAGTGCTCCGCAGCTCTCGCTAACAGATTCGTCCTTCTCTACTTCATTCGTCCCGGCCACAGCTTCCAGGGTTCGGCGCTAACAATCAATCCTGCCTTGGACTACAACACTAAAAAATGTGATGGTATCAGCATATAGGGAACTGAACCAGGGTTATAATATCTCTGCCCCTAGGGTATTTCAGAGGGCCGGAAAATGTTAAGCCTAGGGAATAGACATATTTCCTGTAAAGCCGCAATTACCAGGAGGATATGCGAGTCGCACTCAACACCAACCTGGCTCTTGTTGAAGTTGTAAGAAGCGGATATATATATATGTAGTGAAAGCACCAGAGCTTTAATATTATATTTCCGCCGTATTTTATAATCACTCCTGCTGTGACGCAATGGAGGAAATCGCAGAGATAGTCCGCGAGATTGGTCGGCAGCAGGGGGAGAATGCATATTACCGCGCTTGTTATTACTACCTCAAGCAGTTGCAAGACTCGGTATCTCAGGCTTCTGATGACTTGTGTCAGTTTTATCAAGAAGCTACATTCAATCCTTCTTGCGACTCTTGGCCCGCTCACCAAGTGGCCGAGAATTTACGGTGGTCAGTCTATTTACTGGCCGAACAAGAAAGAAAAGCCCAGCTGGCTCTAGTGGAGCTGTACAGTCTGGAAAATGGAGCTTAAAACCAATGAGCTTAAGCTTATGTTGCAAATTGAAACCAAATGTTCCATTTTATGTGAAAGTTTTACACGCATGCATGATTGTCTAGCGTGCCATTGAACATTTCAATAGCGCCATCATCCCATATACTTTCTGAACAAGTACCAGAGTTCGCTGGGTGGTCGGCCATTTCGTTGATGGCAATGACGTTGACACTCCGCCAATTATATATGTCGTTACTGATCAGGCGATTGGAATGGATTGTGTCGCTTTCCGATGGTGTAATGTAAAGAATAAACTCGGTCGAGGGTCCGAATACAATTGATAAGCTAAAATACTCCTATTTCTTTTACCAACTCATCTCACTCAATGTTAATAATCTAAAATTACGACCAGCCTCACCAAGCATGAACGAACTCGCATCATTCTGTACTTATTCCTTTTTTTGTGAGCCCCGGCAGCGTCTGATGGACTTTCGCATCTTGGGCCCCATTCCATGGGTCCACTCGTTTAATTAACTAACTTTAAACCAACTGATGTGATTGAGTGGTACAAGCGTGGTATCAGGTAAGATACAGCACTGTAGCACAGACAGACGTAGGAAGAGAATGGATAATTAGCAGAACATCGTAAGTAACCTTTCGCGAACGTTAAATGCACCCCACAAGCCATTTTGATTGGTTTGCCTCAACATTCACCGTCAGAAATGGACACATCTAAATGAAGTCCTCCGTTTTCAGTCCCAGTCGCTTTTCCGCGGCCTGTTGAAGATTTTAAAACAATCCTGACCTGACTAAGACGCGTAAAACAGCACTTAACGTTACTCTCTAGCTACACAGAATGCGATCAATTTTAGTCTCATTAAATTCCTCAATATTTTGTGTCGAGCCGCCATTAATTATTCATGCTGCTGTCCCTCACAATTGTCCCACCTTCTATTTTTGCCACTTTTTCCCTGCCTCGATCCAACCATTCTACCTTTCTATAAATGCATCCACCAAGGATAGGGTACAAATTTGTAAAGTGACGGCAATTTAGCCCAAAGTAAAGGTTCGCTCCAATGCTGGCTCACGGTGAAAAACGACCAATGCTTGTTTTGGTAGCATTGGCGTTGTCGATCTTTGCAGTGATACCTCTAGCATTCATTTTCGATGGATGTACATCGACGTCTTCACCTTCTAGTTTCTATTTTATGAAGGTGAGAGGCCATTCAAATGGATCACATGGCATGGTTTGATGAAAGCTACAGGTGAACTTAACCGACTTCCCGGAGATAAAAGCGCACCATATCCGCCGATCGATTAGCGTCAGTGGAATAAGTAGCCCTAACCTAGCTGGTGACACAGCCGATACGGCTGGGACCGCTACAAAGATCGTTGCCAGCAACGTTGCGCAGGCCACTAACGCCGTGGGGAATGAAGCAGACCAAGCCATTGAACATGTGCAATCTTTGACAGACCACTTGAAGTCTCAGTTACCCACTTCCTACACTGTCGGGCTCCGGAGCTATTGCCAGAAAAATCGTGGCTCTATATCCTCCGACTGCTCTGCGGTCAGCAACTCATTTTCATTCGATCTGTCGAGCCTGCTTGGCTCGATTTCAAATGAAGTCGATGCACTGCTTTCAAGCAAAGTGAAAAAGGTCTTCAAAGAATATCATAAAGCATCACACTTCGCTATCTTGGCATTCATTATCGGAACAACAGCTACTGCTCTAGCAATTACGTTAGAGGCTATGTGGATGGTTTCTCGCTGGAAAAACATTGTTCCTTCTCCGACAGCTTCCTGGCGGCTAAGGCTAGTTACAATTTCTTTTTCATCTGTAAGTCTGACTACAGCCAAAATCTGGAGTTGTATGTTGATGAAAGTCCAGCTTGCCTCCGTTTTCCTGGTATGCGCATCCGCCACCATAACGGCAATTCACGTGTCCGTTAAGTCGGCCATACAGGATAGTTTACAAAGTTTAGGAGCGCACGCAAGCTTGGGTGGGCTTTTGGTCGCGGCTTGGTTTGCAGTAGTACTTTCTGTTATTGCCTCTTTCTTGTTATGTTTCACCCGGCTTTCCTGAATTTTCTGTATCCCCTATCATTCACCGTAAAATCCAGTTCACTGCACTATATTCTGAATTGAATGTTTTCAACCTATGCAATGTTGTTATAGCTCAGCGCTATTAACTTAGTTTTTCTTTGCTTACGCATCTCTGGAATTAGTTCCATTGAGGGAGTTTGGCCTCTGATCCGTACAAGACTGCACGCAGATGAATTACGCATAGATCCTTAGAGTGGACTTTATAAAACAAGAAAACAATGAGTTGTATATCTGCAGCGAGGCAGACACAACAGGGGTCCATTCACAGTAGCCGAATACCTAACTGCAAATTTTGTAGTCGCCGATAGGTGCGGATGCTCCCCAGCACTCTTCAGTTGCCAACAATCGATTTCGCTTGAAGCAACTTTAGGGGATCAAGTGATAACCGCAATGGCTTTTAGCCAGAGTAGAACGATCGTCCAAGGCTCTGTGAAGTTTCTACTGATCATGTTTCCTGCTTTCTTTTCGCCGAAATGAGGCTGTAAGTTCGTTTTCAGGTAGTGGAATAACATACATCTACATACAAGGGTATATATGCTTGTTGTAACCTGCATATCGCTGTCGATGCGAGGGTTCAAGTTAAATAAAGTCATACATACATACGGTAAAAGTGAGCTCAGCAAAAGATTAAACTAGGCGGCCTGCTGCATTCTAATCCATGAACACCATAGCGCTGTCGCGTACTTCGTGGATAGACAACTGCTCAAACCTCGGTGGGGCTGGATCACACTACTGAGGTGTGGACGCAATTTTAAACCTGATGGCTGAGAACAGCTGTTACCCGAACGAAGCTAATTGATGGCCGGTTTTACGTTTGGTGAAATTGCTCAATTTAAAGCAAAATTACTGATAGTGCCCCATTTATAACATGATGAACGTTCTTCAGTCACCGTATAACTTGCAGTCAACGCATTGCGCTGCGGTTTGAGGATGAACTTTTGTGATTGAGTTGTCCTACGAAGCATGGGAGACCTAGAGCGTGTGGGGAAATTAATTGCGTTAGCACTTTGGGCTCTAGTCCTTGCCGCTATTGGTATCTTGTTCAGCGGATGCACATCTACGTCATCTTTATCACGCTTCTATTTCCTGAAGGTAATTCATCCTCAAGTTGGTTGACTGGTTCTCATATACGCCTCAGGTAAGCTTTACAAACATTACGGAGTTAAAGGTAAGCGGCAATATCCCATTACCGTATTCCTAACTGTTCTTAGCCGGCCTGCTGAGATAATTCAGAATACGACTGGGCTCAAGTCGAACCTACCTGCGTTTTATGTTGTTGGACTCTTAGGCTATTGCCAAGGGCAGACGCACACGTCATCTATCGCCAATTGTTCTGATCCATCAGTTCGATTCTCTTTCGACTTATTAAGTGTACTACACTCTGCGTCAGAGGGAATTGGAAACGTAGTACCTAGTGACGATATCAAGGCTCTCAGAGGCTATCCTGACTTTGCCAGTTGGTTCGTCTTGATTTACTTTCTTGGAGCAGGAGCGACACTTTCGACCATGATATTCGGTATCGGTTCAATTGTTTTTACATGGAAAGTAAAGCTCATTTCCGTCATTTCAGCGTTGGTTTGTTGCAAACAAAGCCTTTCAAATTCCATGGATACTGACGGGTATGTAGATCTCATTGATATTTCTCATGCTCGGTTCAACTAGTATCACTGCAGTCTATTTCCTGGTGTTCTTTGCTATTCAAAACACTCTTCATCAAGTAGGGATCCACGCAAGCCTCGGTGGTCTGTTTGTGGCCGCTTGGTCCGCTGCAGGTCTATCAATCGCAGGTTTACTCGCTTGGATGATAGTGATATGTTGTTGCTGTATCTGATATCATCTGTGTTGTTGGTCCAAGGCCATGTGTACTGTATCATTATCGATGGAAGCACCTCCTATGTTTCACTACGGAATATCCATACAAGATTATGCTGTAAAGATCATTATGCTTTCGCACCATGTGATATGATTTTCCTGCGTAAACTTGATTCAACAAGAATGTGAGGGATGATCTTCTTCAGTAAAAGCGGTCCGTGTCTCCAGAGCAGTTCGAGGTAATGAAGAGATAATCACCTACCGAATAGTCCGCTGCATTCCAAGGGAAGCACGATGCTTGTCCCATTGTCCCAGCAGGATGGGTAAGTCCTGCTGAGTACATGGGATTTCCGGTCATTAAACCAAAGACTGCAGTGTGGAGATGATTCCTTGGGTTCCTACCCGGGGCGTACAGTAGCAGAATGATTCACGGAGAGCGGTGAATTGAAGTGCGAGTGATGAATTGAGGGCAAATGATGAATTGGGGACGGGCGATAAATTGGGGGCGGGTGTCGAATTGGGGGCGGGTGATGAATTGGGGGCAATTGTGTTACGGACACGTTAGTCATGAATCGGTGTCCAGTGAGCAGGGGCGAGGGTCAAGCAAAGGACGCCAGAATTAGCTACATTTTTACCGCTGTGTTAGTAATATACTAACTTACACTGTTGAGGACGGTATAAATGACTAAGCAGTATACTAAATTGGAGACCACAAAAATAAAATCTGCGGTATACCCAACCGGGAATGCTAAATCTAGCGGATGATGTAGTACTCAAACTACTTGGATTCTACTCATCGTCGGCCAATTGATCCGGTGCGTTAATAATTAGAGAAATCATCACTCCAAACTTGCCTATCATAAAATGCCAAAAATAAATCATTTAGCTCGTGAACTCTAACCAGCTCGAGAAACATTTCCTCTTCTTATCATGGTGGTATGCGATTCCTGATGCGCATTTTATTCTTGAGGGCTACGGTATCTCTTTCGGACCTGAGTCTCCCTTACCTTGCTGCTATTCTATTTTCCTATAAGTCGACTTTCTTACCTGTGTTCGATATCATACACACTTTTGGAAGAAATGGACAGTCAACAGACAGAAAGGCTGCGTGATTGTGCGGTACTCACAACCATCCACATATTTACCTCTTCCTACTTTCTACTATTTATGCTTCACCTACTTATTTTTCATTTCCCATCCACGCCCGAGGCTATCCTCAACTCTGTTGCCGTCCTTCTGTTTTGCGCGGGTGTGCTATTCTGGTGCATTTCGAGTATCCTTTATCGCATCCTAAACGCTGCTGCCCAAGGCAATACTGTGGGATGGCAAAAACTCGAGTTTATTGGGACGCTTATTTTGATTGGTGCAACGACTGTTCCATTCGTGGTTATACAATTTGCAACTGAGCCGTCGACTCGTTTAAGTTATTTATCGGCTTTGACGTTGGTGACTGTTGGCTTCTTGGTGGATCTCTTCACCGTGGAACCGAACGAAGCGGTGATTCGAGAAAGATTCCCATATCATTGTGCCTCTCTTGGCTTATTGATGTTGGTCCCAGCAATCCATGCACTTTCAGAGCACCAGTTTGAGTACACGCCATTGGTTCTTCAGTTTGTCAAGGTCGCTATCTATAATGCTCTCGCTAGTATTCTCTTCTTACTCAAACCATTGGAAAGGACGCGAATGATCACCGGTTGGCGGCCCAGTCTTTATGCGATGCATCTCGTGCTTGTTTACAGCGCGGTCACTTATTCAATGGTCGTGTTGCATGTTTTGGTTGATTTGTGATTTTGTGGTCAGTCTGCCAAGCATTGCTCTGTCCTTGCAGCTACAGTTTGACTCTAAGTACAGACCCTGGAAAGTTCTTGTAAACCAATCCTAGAGCAATACCAACGTTTCTTCGTGTCTCAAATACAACAACATCCGATGTAAAATACCAAGTACGAGCCCTATATGTTTTAGAAAGTATATTTCATAAACAGTGGCTCCACTATATCTTTACTGTGTAGATCAAAATCAGCCGTGTAACAGGATGGCAAACCCAAGTTGAGAAGAGGGAGCCAGCCGGAAAGGGCACGAACCCTCCCATCTCCCTCACCACGATCACATTGAATATGGAGAGCTAATGCAATTGACTGATTCAATGCACATTGGTACAACACCTTGATGTTGAAGGCGCTTGTCAGGGGGCATGGAATCCTCACGACTTTTTTAGCCAGGTGGGCTCAAATGGGCAAAAATGCGTCAGCCAGTAAAGAAATGCGAGAATGATTACGGACAGTAATCATTATACTTTAGCCTATTTATAAAGCTGCCTAATTACACGACGATCCTTCTTAAGTAGCTTAGATAAGAAAAAAAAAAAAGATTCGTCACTCTGGTAACGAACAATTCTTTGTATGCGCCGGACAGGACTTGATAAATTGCCTGTGCCCAAATCGGATATCAACCTGGAAATGATTAGTCATATTAAGCTTACTAGTGGAAACAAGGTGTCTACATTGAAGCACTTCCTAATAAATCCATATGTTTTGCTTCATTCTAGATAGTGGAGCTGACACTAATCCCTCTCCTCAACAGTTAAACACCTGTAAATCTACATTATAGCTCAATAGTGTGGCGTCCTAAATGCATGTTTCCATTTAAACGGATTTATCCATGTACACCATTTGCCTCACATCCATCCACTGGTAGTTCATAGACTTGGCAAAGCCTTCCACCTGGGCCATATGACCCATGGAGGCTCCATTTAGCTCTAGCACAACCTGTTCTTCTACGCGAGCAGATTCCGACAGAAGGAGATTCAATAGGGTCTCGCTGATGGTCTTGGTGGTAAGACGATGACCGCCTTCCCAGGCACCGTTTACATCGGAGAAGTCCTACTCCATTGATTCGAGTTGGAGTGGCAGGCTGCAGGGTCTTGTTGGTTGCTTGGTCGTGGCTAGCATTTCTCTCGTAGGGTTTGTAGGCCGAGCTACAGCGGCTGGGTCTACACCTGGAGTTGTCACTGCTAATTGAGGATCACCGCGTGTTGGGGGCTAGGTATGAGGCACTCACGTCGCAATTATCCACAGTTTGGTTCCTAAAAGCCAATGCATTGTCAAAGATCCTTGACTGCAGCGGAATTTCTTGACCACGTACGAAGCGTTTACGGAAAAGCTAGTCACGGCTACAGGGTGACCACCTGTCTTTTCAAATGCTATCCCGGCTATATTACTCTTATATACACATGTCTTCTCTTTGTATTACTCATACCATGCTTGCGGCATATACAAAAGCTAAAATCCATGCCGTAGGCAAAATGCATACTTGATATAAGCAGATGACCACCATGAAGAATTGTATTACGAATGAATAGGAATGGGAAATTTAAACAGGTACCTGTAATTGACACAGACGAGTAATTGCAATCTATCTCTGCCCCGAACTGGTAATTGATAACTATAGAATATGAATTGGGATTGAGGTGACGAGAGTGTACTCGCAGTATCGTCATGCGCAGACTATGCTGCAGAATCAAAATAGTGAGGATTTTGAATTCCTTCCAATTTGCTACCGAGTTGAAATGGCAACCTACTGAAACTTATGTAACAGATTCCTTCATTCATTTGACGGCTTCCTAGTAGGCAACTGATTAATCCTTGTCACTATTGGTTAATGAGTGCGTTTGTTAACTTAATATTGAGCTGGAATCGAAGTTCTTGGCACGCTCGAACGTCACTTCCTGGTCGTTTGATAAGATAGGCTTTGCCATGAGTTCTTTATCTACCATACTTATACAGGATCATCCCTGCAGGTTGCGACCCCCAACACTTACACTTATACTTCAGCATTCAACATAATGCTAGAAGCTTTGCCAGTTGAGATCCTGTCCAGTATTGCAAATTGGGTAAGTTGACTCTCCTTATCCCGTTAACCGGTCGCTAATTCTCTGTTAGTTGAGTCCTCGAGATCTTCGCTTCTTAAGCCAAGCCTCCCGCAGGCTTCATTCGGTATTCATTCCACTACTCTACCATACAATCAATTTTTGTGCCGCAAGTGAATGGGCACTTAATGTCATCAACATTGGTACCTTTTTCCGCCTTCACGAAGTTTCCAAAGACTCCTGCTATCTTCAGTACACGAGAGAATTGAGTATATCTGCGCCCATTGTCTTTGCTCGATTCAATCGTTGTACGTACTTCAACGTTTTTCGTGTTGCTGGGCAGTTGATAGGGATCAATACCCTGGGCACTTCCAACGAGTCCAAGGCACATGAACAATTTTTGGACGATATCTCACATCAGTTGCAACTTGTGCAAAGCCGTCTAAAATCCAATCACCTCAGATCACTCGAGTATGTTGCACGTCCTGGTTCTTCATTTATATTTATCAAAATCATGTTAATAACAACCATCAGGTGGGGGCTAGGCACATGTCTTCCTCCAGGCTTTCTGGACCTGGATGGCTACATTGACAGACACCAGAACGGCTTAAGTCATATCTCGTTGGTCACCGACGGGACTTGTCCACATTCAGGGCGCTGTTTGGGCGGACTCCGTTCATTATCAAGCCTTAAGTCCCTGGTATGGGAAGGAATTGGTCGGCCGGCTGAGTTCGATACTTTGAGAATGTGCATTCTTCGAAACCGAAAGCACCTCGCTGTCGTGTCCATTGGATACGTTGCGCCAGTGGCTACTATAGACATCTATCATGACGTTTTTGGGGAGCCTGTAGATGAAGCCCAACCGTGCAACGGTACTGGCATGGTGTCGATTCCATTCCCCTGCCTAGCCTCATTGACGTTATCTAAGGCTGCCCTACCGAGAAACGTACGACCGAAGGACGCACGCATCTTTGGTTCCCTCAAATCCCTCATATTACGTAACTGTACGAACCAGATTACGTTCATGAACTCGATTCCTCGCACGCGTCGTGCCATGCAACTTGAGCATCTTGAATTTTGCTATGACAGCCTTCAGGGCCATCGAGAAGATCGTGACGTGAGCCCATTGGTGGATTTCTTGCTTTCACTTGAGGGTTTGAAACATCTTCATCTAAAGTTATCAAATTTTTGCAATACTTCCCAGATACAGCAGGCAATCGAAAAACATTGTTCGTCATTGAAGAGCCTCGCTTACCACGAGCGCAGCCTTGTTTCCATTGACGATGACGGATTATTCGAAGATGTCAGGGATAAAGCACCAGTCTGGCTATCTCACAGCCTTTGGTCGGCACACTTGTGTGGTGCAACTGCTTTAGCATTTAGCGTGGGGCCTTCTACTGTAGTGGGTGGTTACATTCAATTTTAGGAGTTTTGCTAACCGGGGACAGCGATCCCGACTCGAGCCCATAGCGAGGGCTTCAAACCTGCAGATTCTACATTTCAGATTTAGCGGATCCGAAAGAACACACCAGAATTGTCGCGACGAAATCCTAAAAAAGCTAGGCGGGGGCAAGAAATGTTGTCCAAAATATTTTGATCCAGACGAGCGTTTCCGGTATCGATCGTGTGGCACAAGTGGAAGAGACCTTTCAACTGTGATGGAAGTACATGCCTTTGAATCCTCTGAAGAAGAATCATACGAGTCTGGCCTACCAAACAATCCACTTGCTACTATCTCTGAATCCGAGGAGTTTGTGGATTTTGCTGACTGGGCATTCGGCCCGAAGGGCTTACCTGCGTTGCAAATCCTCGCCTTGGGCGATTTTTCTTTGCAAGATCGGTATCATAATCAACGGTTTTTGGTTCACCGTAAACGGGGGAACCAAGTCCATACCAGCAGGAATTGTCGAGAACATTTCTGCGAGGAGGCAGGCGCCCGCAATTTCGTTGTGGCCGATGTTGCGCAGCCTTCTCTCTGGGACTCCATTGAAGTAAATGGTCCCAATTTCCTTTCCAGTTGTCCCGAGAGTGGCTTGCTGGAATCGCCATATGAATGATACATGTAGGCTTCTCAGTATACTAGAATCATGGCTAAATTAAAACTTGAATGATTTAATTTTTCGCTAGTTTATTTTGTAATGAGGTCACCACCCGTGGGTTCACCGCCAAATCTTAGAGCTGCAACAGCTGGTTTTCTTTCCGATAAGTTTAGTTACTCCTATTCCAATCCTAAAATTTGCTTTCGGCAGATTTTCACTCCGCAGTTCCAACTTTTTTTTGTAGTGAAAGTATGATTGGCGTAATAGCATTAGAGGAAACTAACAGATTCCACTCTACTTTTGCAAACCCAAGAAAAGTATCCACTGACCTAGTCTCCTAGGCTTTCAAATTGTATCCATAGCGTTTGGTAGTAGCGGGAAAAAACGTTATCTTATGCTGCATCATTTGCTGGTGCTGTAACAAGATATCTGCTATCGCAAAAATGCGATTTATAAACACGTTTTTACAAATTTACATATAAGTTACTCCTGGCATTAATCCCCAACCCATTATACACATACGGCTTGGTGCAGTAAGTACAACTGAATCCATAGATTGCAAAGTTTGTTTACAGGGTGTGTGTGTGTGTGTGTGAGAGAAATCATTTACCCTGGCCCCTCGCGAACGATATCCTGGATACGACTACTATATATATCCGTGTACGTACATGTAGAGTGTTCCACTTCCTGAAAACGAACTCAGAGCCTCGTCAAGGCCTGTCGTGGCCTAATTGCCGTTCCCATTGTTAGGCTGCCCCGGTGGCGCGCGACTCCGAAACCGTTGTGACGCCTCGGCGAAGTCCAGCACGGCCTTGACCGTCCTGGCTCGCGAGACGGTGTCTGGTTTACCTTTCTCACCTTGATTTGAGCCTCCCAGCAGGCTCGACACGCTATTAAACGCGTCTCCAACTTCTCTCCTTAGCTCTCTCCGAGGTTCCCTCAAGTTCGGGCAATCCACCAGCACATGGGTGACTGTTTCTTGTGCGCCGCATGCGCACTGGTCGTCGTCACTATAACCAACATTCTTGCGGTAGCTGGCCAAGAGACAAAAAGTAGTATCGACAGGCCTACTTGCATAAGCCACTACCCAGTTTTTCACCCAGTAATCGAGGCTTCTGGTCTTTTGAGGTTCACCAGGCCTCTCACCCTGGGTGTCTCTCAGTTTGCTCCTTAAGCACACATCACGGGCAGTTCAACTAGGACGACACCGCTTCAACCGATCAAGACCGGTTTCAGGCCCCCAGTGCGAGTGAGGTAGTTGAGCCCCGGCTCTTTGTGCACCGACACGCGCATCCGTCCTCTCGGGCCATACAGACAGTCTCTTGACAGGCCCCGACCCTGTCGCAGTGGCTGCCATTGTATACCACGCCCCGCAATCGCTCACACTCTTGTTTCGCGTTACCTGGAGAGGTCTCCCTCCGCCAGGCCGACCGTGTCTTGCAGAAAGCCCTCATATACGCTCCATCCAGCAGTGTATGTTGGTCACTCTCCACTAACCTTTCATCGCGACCAGGGGTACCAGACACTGCCCACATATTGCTAAGATGGAATGGTGCTCTCTCGCACGTTTTAGGGCTCCAAGGATGCTGCACTCCTTGAGGATTTCATTGATCAATTTATCAGGCATACTGGACGCCGTATGAAGAAGACCCAGAATGAGATCCCGGGGAAATTGATTTCCCCCCCCAACCTTTTGCCCAGAGGTCTAGCCGCCGTACGAAATTGAGTGCTACGAGTTTTCCAACTTGAGAGTCCTCAAAATATTTGTACTGGACATCGATATTTGTTCTAACCTCCAATTCCCAACTCCATTGCCGGACTGTTGGATCCTAGAAGTGAAATCAGCCTTTGTCAGTAATTTCTATGGTCCCGGAGTCACCTATGAAGGCACTGAAAAGCGGGTCTTGGAGTGAGATTGGAGAGCGCACCCGCGCCACCACCAGGCGACCGCCACGGCTTACAAATCATGTTGGTTTCTTTGGTCAGATGTGCGGGAGAGCGGATACATCACACATCACGAATCACCGTGATGCGAGTCATGATGCTTGTATTTCTTTGTTTGAAGCACGGAAAGGTTCCACCGGGCTCTCGCAGCTGAAATTCCGCTACGACCGTTCTTTGTTTGAAGGTATGAATTGAATTCCGGCAGTCCTACCCACGAATTAAAAAGTGCATACATTGCGATAGTGCTTGATCAAGTGAAACCACGGGGGATGCTGGCGCCAGAAGAGCAGGCCGACCGGCGAAGCATAAATAGCCTCTAAGTATTCCTCCCGATATCTAACCCCAAACAATAAGTTTTTTAAAAATGTCCCAAATTCTCTCACACTTATCCGAACCCCGAGAAACATTAAGATATTGCTGCTACGTCCATTATGCCTCACATGTTCAGTGCTATGCCGAACTCGGCATCCACTGGAGCACCAGCACAAAGTTCCAATGCCCGCGAGCAGGCAGGTCGGTAGATCACTGGCTCACAACGCATGATGCACAAGGCTATGAAGCTAATCGGTGTGACGATAGCCCAAGCGATGTTGCGCCGGTCTTTGACCACGACCAGAACAGTCATGGCAAAACTATTGCCATACTATTTTATGTATTCTCTTGCGATCAGGTATATTGAAGAGCAAAGTGAGTATTCCCGACAAGTATGAGAAGAGAGAACAATCTGCTCATCAGTTCATTGTCATTTCAGAATCCCTTAGCCAACGTGACTTCAATATTACCCCATATCCATGGTGGGAAGAACAACAGTGTATTCCCGATACAGGTAGCTTTATTTCCGACATCGAAGAATCAGTTAAGGACCAGCTTGAGAGTGATGGATGGTTGCTGGAGCGAGGCGAACATGATTCCTTGCTAGACCCGTTTTCTCATGAGCTTGATGCTGTTATCGTCGCGCAGCGATATATTCCAGCTGTGGAAGACTGGCTTCAGCGAGAAGTGAAAGATCCGGATTACGTGAGCCCAGTTGACGGAGATATAGACCCATAGATTGTCCTGAATGTATTTCCTTGAGACTCTTGTTAAAGGCGAAGTTACCAGTGACTGTATCACTGTATCTACACGATTTGTTTAGAATATCAACGAGTAGTGGTGTGCCACACGAATTGGCTTAAGGATAACGGGTTGATCATCGATCCGCGTTTTCCCGGTCCAAGCCTGCAATTCCAATGAGTTCAATGGCACAAAGCTAGGCTCTTCCAGAGTGCATCGTTCTATCGTGTGTATACAGAGGCTCGAACGATGCCTCAGATTTCGAATGTTCCGTTGAGGGGCTTCTGTAGGATTGAGGGAAGTGTCCGAAGCCTAGGTCGGTGCTGTTGATGGACAGCGCATTCTTCCATATGTAGCTCAATAGTGTACCGTCTCTATAGAATACAACTAGCACTTTCATAGAGGTCACTCCAGAGGGTGGGTGGTTTACGAAACCGGGATTCTAATGCCTCACGTCTCTAAACGAGCAGGTATCCGTCTGTTTAACTTGTTTGCTGGATTAAAGTTCTAGAAACCCTGAAGACCTTACGAGTCGAATACAGATGCTATTTTTTAAACTGTAATTTACGAGTGTACTAAAATACTGCGAAGAAAGGGGTTCAGGGGCAGAGTAACCGTAGCGGGTATAGCGTGTTTCGGGACAGGGTTCGAGAAAGAATCTCTGTGTGCAAGTGGTGAAACCGATTTCGATCCTCCCTGTATAATCCGACCGACATAGAAATCCACAGCGGGGCGAGAGTACACGCCAATTACTCACGTCGCGGAGGTTGCGGCCGATCTCTTAGTTCGACAAAGTTTAAATTATTAATTGACGTGGGCATCAGCCCCGAACATGTCTTATGTAAGGCGACAGCCTGACCAAAAGTGGGCGAGCAAAAGGTAGTCGACGTTCCACTTCTCGTTATTGCTCCTGTGTTGTTCCTTGTGACAATTCATGTTTGTGGCCATACCTGTCGAAGTCTCCTGCTATATTGGTTATCTGCAATAATGGCTATAGCAGCATTTTCAAAGATCGTAATGTATTAATTCGCATTCAGATAAGATGAAATGCACTAACCAGTCTAGCTTTACTATTCGGGGCCCTATCAAGCAACTTGTTTTGAATTTAAAGTAGCCCCATTCTTACATCCCTAGCAGCTTTTCTCTCTACTTCAAAGAGAGTTGCAACATTATTTGGCTTCAAAGACCACGAACCACTCGAATTGTCTCTCGATTGCATTGATGACAGCTTTAAATATGCAAGAGGACTCTGAGCTTGGTTGGTACAAGAGTTGTCCTGCAGGGTATTCTACATTCTCACATTGTTCCTTTTCTAGATCATCATTTTGACCTCGACCTGACAAGTCTTTGGAGCGAGTTTCCCGACGCCGCTACTCCGCCACCTCTCCTAGCAGCCGGCTATGGTCTCCCAGTTCCCTCATCCTACGACAAATGCCTCCCTGGAGCCGAAACACCACATTTCGTTGAGGCCATATTTTATCCTAGCTATGAGAGCGAAACCGGATTCCCTTGGCCAGGGCCTGACCCATTACACCATGGCACATCTGGGGATGACATTTTTCTCTACGTATCTGCTTTTCTGCTCTTGGAACAAGTACATTGGTTAGAATTCCGGCTTTATGGCCTCAATGAGGTCAACGAAGTGGCTGAGCAGTTCCTTTTTTTTGTCCCTCGCTTCGAAACCATACTGGGTAATTTAAACCGGGTGAAAGCGCAGATACAGGGTGTTATCATGCGGCAGGATCACGGGCCCGTCAAACGTCGTTTTCAACTGCATATATATCCACGACAAGAATCAGGGTTCATGATGGCTACAAGAAGCGCGGTTCCTCTGCTGAACAACCATCCAGCTTTGGCTGCCTCCGTGCTCGATCCGGGTTTTTTCGTGCAAAACATTGTACGGGGCTTCGTTAATTCGGCTTAGTATTTATCATTATTTTGTTGGGTGGCGGGGGCGGCGGGGGACGAGTATTCCAAGGTTGTGACCACTCAACATGAAGTTTATTTTCGTACACAGTATAGTACAGGTAGAGGCCGGTCTTGACTAGAATAACGTTAATGTGGCATTTTGTAATTCATTAATTGCACGACGAGAGGAAGGTTTGGTATCCATGCATGGTTTGGAAAAGACCTAAGACACCTTCTCGGACCGACTGCAAACTTTGCTGATTATCACGAACAATCCCACATTTAATGACACAAGTAGATACTAATTCAAAATTTTCCGCCTTAAGCAACTTGTTCGCACTCTGGAGCATGCGCCGTTTCATTTCTAAATCACGAATTTTGGTACATTCTGTGAGGTAAGAATCCCACAGTTCCGCGAGGAGACTAACAAGGGGAACGGCTTGGGGCATCGATGTCGGGCGTGATTTTGCAAACGATTCAATTCGGTCGAAATGAGTTTAATGTTGGCGAGAATGAGGGTCTTTTTCTCGCTTAGACATGGCTCCATGTTTCTGTAGTCATGTTCGATTTACCTGAGGTTTGACTGACGATGCTTCTCCCGGGGAGAAATTGGCATAAAGCTCCGTGCAGAGCTTCTTGCTACGGTCGTCTGGGCAAGATCCTCCCTTCCGTTTTGAAGTGGGCATACTCGGCGTTGAACCCGAGGCTCCGATTTCGCTGTAGCAGCATCGTTTGGTATTTTCTGTGGAAAGTGCCGGTGGCCTTTATGGTATGTTCATCAGATTAAGAACATATTTTGTAATTCATTGGCCCTGTGATATACTTCATTGAAGGACAAGAGAAGAGGGCTACCGCGCTAATCATTATTATGCGGACAATCGGTACACATATCACGTCAAGGAATGACGGAGCTTACTAGTAAGCAACACGTTATTCAGGGGCTCATGAATATGCCATAATCTTGCGCAGTAAACATTTGGCTCGTGCCATGCGGTGTTCATCACGACATATCACATTTTTGAACATTTTCCTCATATAAAGCATGATGCTAGGTTTTTCAAGGCATTTGCATTGGCGTATATTCAGCTGACTAGCAAGCATATATAGCCACTACCAGGAAACACCAAATGATATCTTATATTCGGCTCGACCAAGGTCCTAAGGCACGTCGCTCCTAATGTGGCCCCAGCCAGGTTAACTTTGGTTGGGGGTTGGGCAATGGACTGTCAGAAACCGGTCATGAAATGCGCATTGCACCAAGCGGTCCTCATTGTGCCACTTTAGGCTGCTCTTTCAGACTTGAGAAGCGCGACATAGTTTGTAACCACTCCGAGGATGATCAGCCTATAAAAGCGTGCGATGTCGAGCCCAGGGTTGAATGTCGAGGCTTGTGCATGACGCCTAAGGAACCACAGACCTCATTCCCATCCGCGGTGGGTATAAAGGTGGAGCTGAGAAATCATGTTCGCCAACGGTGCTATATAGCTCAATCAGAAATATGCACTGACCAGAACTCAGGAATCAGGTCCTTGACCGACGATCAGATACGAATCTAATTGTAAGGTTTTGCTGTAGATACAACGCTGCAGGTATATGTTTCAGTTCATGGAGCTATTATATAGGATACTGTGTTAAGAGCCCTGGTTAGAATTTTCGACTGAACCTTTCCTACGAGAAGGAAACAAGGGAGGATTCCTTGCCGTCGGTGTAGATATTACGAGTAAAAACATGAAGTTTGAATATTTGTCCACTATGGCTATATTTCGTCTACATAACACTGTCCGCTTTGCCTGACGTGAGCCTGTGGTTCTATTGCGGAAAGATTGACAGAGCTCCGTCTATCAACGTCAGGGTCGAGAGCCATGAAACTGATAATTTACCCAATCATCCGCCAGTATCGTCCAACCGTGTAGCGACCAAGCAGATTATTCTTAGGTTCCCAGGAGCAAGATAAGAAAAGCATCACATGGGTAGATACCAGCTATTTAATTCTGTTCGTTTCCAGATATCCAGTACTGATCTGTTTCCAAGATATTGACACGACATCCGCCCAAGATGGAGATTCCGAGGCTTGCGCATTGCATTCTTGACACTATCAGCATTACAATTATTCTCCTACGTCTGACACTGTGGTACCGCACATTTCCTCTTATGCGAAAATATCGATTTTTGGACCTCGGTGTTTATATTCTGTCGTTTTGCTCCCTTTTCGCGCTGGTAGTGCTAAGTTGGCGTTGGGAAAATGAAAATGGTCTGCACGCCTACATTTGAAAGTTTTGCCCGCAGCTCGTTGACATCTATGTTCGATTATAGCTCAACATATATTAATTGGAATCGTTGTGATATTTCCACCCTTTGCTGAGGTAGGCTTATTGGAAACTCTTTCTACAGTCGGTAACTAAACACAGTCTTTCTACAGTTCCTTCGACTATTCGGGCTACTCGATCTACTCTCAGGCTTGCTGCAGAAGCTCTGCTGCATCATAGTAGCAACCAGTGGATTATCCAAACTGCTACTAAATTTCCTAAGCCTACATTCTCCCTTACCTCTTCGATTTGGTATAGTAGTTATCTCTATCGTGGATTACATCTGCATCACAGCGGGCTACTATTGGTTAGCACACCGATCAAGCCCAGGGCATTCGAGCCGAGCTATACTGCAAGGACTTTCAAATCACATGTGTACTGTAGCCGTCATGCTACTTTGCATCGCGGTGCCGGGTGTCTTGTTACACAGTTGGCGACTATCACTTGAGGTGACTAGGTATACCGTAAATTAAGAATTTATGCTGATCGGTTTCTAGGGACAACTTTTGATTTCAACTATTTGGTCCCTCCACCATGTGCTTGAAAGGCAAGGAGCTCACTGTGTCAGAGACGAACCGCTGCTACATCTTGACATTCGACCCATTGCCGGCCAAGGAAGGCTTTGATGTCCCAGCGCAATCCGCGACATAGACTGTTCACCATGACTTGAAATACTGTACCAGAATCGACGGTGGGGCCGTTGATAACATCAACACTGGACCGTGTTTTCGGTGACCTGCTTCTTGTTCAACTCGGTCTTCCCTATAACATAAAGATTCCGGAGGAAATTGCCACCTAGTAACACACACTATTCAGGTGTTCTAAGATGCGTCTTCATTAATTACATCAAACTTCTCTGGTGTAGCCTGATTAAGAGGGCCTTCCCAGTCCCTTATGACACCCGCCATTTCCCCTCGTACTTTATCAAACATCTGCCCGTAGTAGGTGATTAAAGCCTCCTGTTCAGCGTGGCGGCACTCTAGGGCTCTCTGCTGTTCAAGTAACTCGATATTGTGGATGTGAAGCGCCTCGTTCTCATCTTCAAGGCGTCGGCTCTCAGCCTTTTTCGTTTTATAAGTCTCACATAGCGTTGAGTAAAGCCTCAACGCCCCTGCAGCCTGTTCGGTACTGGACTTGATTGATTGCCTAGGTTCTTCGACAAGCGGTTGAAAGTGTTGGTCGAGAGTTTGAGAATGCGTGTCTAGCGGCAAAATCCCTCCGGGCGACTATTATGAACGAATGAGCACATATCCACAGTTCCTTTATAGCATTACTTACCAGCCATTGCTCCGCGACTTGGTCTGAAGCACGAATGTCGAAGAGGTCTTGGTGCTCAAGAGGTGGGCAGAGTAGTTCTTGAGGTGGCCTGGCCTGCGCGTCCAGTTCATGATTGGGACTGTCCATGGTACTTTCGTTGTGAGTACGAATCCTGCTGAACTTTGGATTATAGAAGAGCCACATTTATATCACTATATATGCAGTCGTAATCGAAATCGACTTGAGAAATACACACTGAGTAACCCTTATTTTTTCCTCCGCAGGGCTTTGGCGCGCATAAAATGGAGCGAGCCGCTTAAGAAATGATTGATAACAGGAAAATGCTACATTATGGCCTGATATCCTGCCAGCCGTAATTAAATCTCCTCTTCGTCCGTTGAACGGTAAATCTTAATAGCGGCCAAACTATGTGGCCACATAACACAGATGGCATATTACTCCGGGCCTCATCTTGTTGCGACTCGTTCAATACATTTTTTTGCGTTGAATCCTTGGCGGTGGGGAGAGATACTCAGTGTGTAATGGTCAACCCAATTGTGGGATTATTGTAGCTATAGGGAGGGCTGTCTTAGTAATATCATTCAGGTCGTTTTCTTCACCACAAGCGAGACCCAATCGATCTCATATTTCCATAACAACAAGTTGCGGAATTGGCCATGATTGTGGACAATAATTATGTGCTTCTTCTAGTACATGAGGTACACCATGAGCAAATCCAAATGCTGTTACTTTGAAGAAATAAAATGTGTCAGAAGTGTCGCGGCACTCATTCGGCGGGCCCTCTGTCGAAAGGGGCATCACATAACAACTTAGAAAGATTAATACCAATTGGCCATTTCCCCACTCACTCAGCCGGTCAAGTCGCGCCGCCCCATTTTCAAGGAGGGAGAATGACGGTAAAGTGAATGGGATGATGTATGTATGGCAGTTTTGCCCGCCTTACCAGGTTTATTAAATGAGAAATGACCTTCAAGGATGATCCTAAACAATCGTCTCACGTGTCTATTAGTCATCCAGCCAATCTCCCATGGGAAATGTCAACGCACCCTAACAGAGACCTACTTTCCTAAAACAACTACATCCTGGACAAACCAATTTCAGGATCCGAATTGTTGAGAGTACTTTATTGGTCACTAGTATTGATTATTATGTTCGCCCAGCTTCTCTAATCTGTATGTTGAGCAGCGTAAATAACTCGTCAATGTCAGGGCAACAAACTATCTCAAATATATGAGTCGCAGTTTTTTATGGCGTTTTTAAAGAATTATGCCGGAACCTTGTTCCTGGATACTAAAGTATAGAAGGGGGCTTGCATCTTGCGTAACTGATGTAGGTAAAGAAGACACTTTAGGTCTGGCCTGCCAGAAAAAGAGAATTTCGATTCAAACAGACGTATATGAACGCAATCATCGTATTCTTCAGAAGATAACCGGACTTCGCCTAGCGTACTACACCAGGTTCGCATCTGGTGGTAAACAAAATTCTCACGCAATCAACAGCGTATAATTTGGCCGTAGGCCACGGGACTGAAGATAACGAATAAGATTCAGGGCCAGGTGAGCTTCAGTAAAAGAAAGTCCGACCATTGTTGCTCCCCATGCAGTGTCGAACAAGAGAGTCGAAGATTCTATTTCAGTGGCACATTTTTGACGCAGCCTATCCTTCTCCCATTTGCTCCACAAGCTGGTATCGATGATGCAAACATCGATAATGGAACAGTCATTGCCTCTAATGCATCGGCTCTCCACGCCTGCCAGTTGCTCGGCATCTGACAATGTTCGAGGTTGGGTAATGGGCATCTTATGGGTAACTGGTCCAAGACGAGTAGTTAGTGATTGAGGCCACCGACTACAATCAACAGAAAGAAACTTTATCTTACCTGGTGACTTTTTTGGATTGGAGATCTTCCGTGAAATGTTGTGTGAAAAGCTTCTGCACCACAGTTTGAAACACTCACACATCAGGAAGGAAAGGATATATAGGGTGCTGTAAAGGAATTGAAAGTTAGAAATACAAGTTGGTGAAGGATCTGGTCTGCTCTGGGGGACAGTGACACCTTTTGTATGGCTAAGGGATTGGCCAACCTTCGCGCGGCGAAATCCTGCCTTACGTGATACCGCCTCCTTTCTCAGTTGTTAAGTTGCCCAGTCAATATAAAATAGCTTTGGAAATAAATCGGCTGGATCTGAGAGCCGTTGCGCTCCTAGGACCCTAGTTTTGGGCCCTAGGGTCAATCTTCTGCCTCCAAAGCTTGGATAAAATTGTCACACTACACTGGACGCCTGCCAATCCGAGACATTTGATTATTCGTAGGAGCCCACGCTGCGATACCAGGAACCGCACTTTAGGTTCCAGGAGTTTATGTGAGGTCAACAGGAACATTGCTTTGTGTTTCCGTGAGGTAGGTAGAACACCCCCAGAAGCTCCGTCTGGCTTTCCCCGGGAGGGGGTGGGGGGCAGGGGGGCATATGGCTTCTAGGAACGGATTATATGCCCCAGCAACGATACTAAAGCCACTGGGATCCAGAGAGCTCTCGGGTCCACAATGTATGTTTCCAGGGCTGTAAAGAGGAGGACCTTCATGAAGTCATTACGAACACGAGAGTTGGTGGTATTTACGCAGAAATGAATAGTCGGCAAAACCAATTGGTAAAATATCCTACCAATACAGTACGTCCCGAAACTGGTGCAACCGTTTACACTCTTTAAGTGATTATTTAGTCCCACTGCCAAGAAACGCTAGTCCATATTGGGAGTTATTCCGATAGTTGTATGGGTATTTCCTCGTAAGTAAATTACATAATAATCTCAAGTATGTATTAGCTTGTAACTTCAATAGATGTGGCACCTCTATGCCCCTCACCCGGAGCAGCTTTTCTCGGGAGGCACTCTTGACAATTAATTACTAGTGGTCCAACCAATGATGGCTCCAAACCTAGCCTTACCTAAACATGAGCTTATCTATGATATGATATACAGTGGCGAACCATCTATAATCGAGATGGCACGGGTCGCTGGCTGCAATAAGAGTACTATTTCAAGAATCTTTTCTAATATTAGGGCCAACAAGGGCGTGGAGACTTTAGATTTCATTCTGCTATCTAAGCGGGGTGGCCTTCAGCAGCGCGGTGCCACAATTAGGTGGAGTTCTCCTATGGCTAAGCTAAAACCATCTGCGCCTACGGAGTAACTCATCACTAAATCACATAAATCAAAGTCATATGTGAAAAGTCATTAATTCAATCGGGTCAGACTCTTACTAGCAACTCTTCATACAAGTGACGGAGATAAGCAAATCGAAGCTCGGCAAAGTCGTCCTAACAGGCTGATGAGTATGGTTAATTGGCGTCTACCTAGTGAAAAGGCGGTAGTGACGTGTCCATTGACGCATTGACCAGTGGAGTGACGTAGCGTAGGTGCCAAAAGTCTCGCAAATTCTCCAATTACGTACGAAAGTTTAGATCAAGCAGGGCTATGGCCCGTTCCCTCTAACATAAAGAAGTCCACTCGGCGCTTTATGCACAAAACTTGAACGCAAAAAACTCATACTCTACTTTGGACTAATTCTACTTTGCGACGTCGATTACACATAGCGAACATTCGCTTAACGATTAATACCGTTATGGCAGAGAATGATTACGTTGTAAGCGATGCTTTTATTCACAGCCTATAGGTTTTCTAATCAAATAATATAGGTCGTCTTCAAGGACACCGCCACAAACGACCAAATCGATAAATATGCCAATCGTGTCACTAATGCCGGAGGTTCAATCCACTCTATATATTACAGAAATGATAATCCCATTATTTATGGATTTATGTTCGTGTTCTCTCTAACAAGACTTAACCTCCCACTTCATATATGATTGCGCTAACATTAAGCAAAATCAGCGCTGGAATTCCCCACCATATTTATTCTTCGTTTCAAGACGACGATCTCATTGAGTATGTCGAGGATGTCGAGGCTAAGGAGCCACTTTAGTTCGACGACGATAAATTCATCGCCTCTTAAACCGCGAAGTGAGTGTGAAGGGCATTAGATTGCTAGCAGAACGGTAAAGCGGTCAGGTGTTCACTTGTTTGCAGGAAGGTAATTTTGGCTCTTATAAACCATAGCAGCATAATACTGCAAAATGAATAGGGATTGATCTTAGTATGAGGCCATGGAAATAAAGGGCCGTCGTTCCAACCAGGTCTTTTTAGCTATTATTATTAACATGGTTGTGTGTTAGTTTCCACTAAGTGTGTTCCGGGGTGACTATGGCTGACAGGCTGAGTATTATGATAAGCGGGTTCATGGGTAGTCTGTAAGGACAGTAAGCAGTAATGCAAGTCACTATTTGCAGGTCGGGTGCCGAGTAAGCCTCCCAGACCGTCACTTGGATATAGGAGCGGAAGGGAAAAGACAGGTCGCCAGATTATCGAGGGACTCAAGCTCTAGTGTTTGACTTGTTTGTATTTCCCTGGAAAATTCTAGTTCCCTTGTGTTACCAATACAGTTACAAGACGAGGCAACGTATTTTAATGAAAGTAAATCACGGTATCGAGACTGGTACAGGAATATTGATATTCCGGTTTTTACCTAATATGGTATAGTGTTTCTTGGCAATGGGGCTAAATAATCACTCGAAGAGTGTAGGCGGTTGCACCAGTTTCGGGACGTACTGTA